TCACACTACGTGAGCATGGTGTTGTTAGGCACACTACCTGAGCATGGTGTTTGACACACTACCTGAGCATTGTGGTGTTAGACACATTACCTGAGCATGGTTTTCTTATGCAAACTACCTGAGCATAGTGTTGTTAGACACAGTGTTGTTAGACACACTACCTGAGCATAGTGTTAGCCACACTACCTGAGCATTGTGGTGTTAGACACCCTACCTGAGCATTGTGTTGTTAACCACATTACCTGAGCATGGTGTTGTTAGACACACTACCAGAGCATTTTGTTGTTAGTCACACTACCTGAACATGGTGTTGTTAGTCACACTAAATGAGCATGGTGTTGTTAGGCACACTTCCTGAGCATGGGGTTGTTAGGCACTCCACCTGACCATGGTGTTCTTATGCACACTACCTCAGTACCTGAGCATGATGGGGTTGTTGTTCACGCTACCTGAGCATAGTCTTGTTAGGCACACTACCTGAGCTTGGTGTTTTTAGACACACTAGCTGAGAATATCGTAGTTAGCCACACAACCTGAGCATGGTGTTGTTCAGCACACCACCTGAGCAAGGTGTTGTTAGTAACACTACCTGAGCATGGTGTTATTAATCACACTTCCTGAGCATGGTGTTAGACAAACTACCTGAGCACTTTGTTGTTAGACACACTACCTAAGCATGGTGTTAGACACACTATCTGAGCATTGTGTTGTTATTCACACTACCTGAGCATGGTGTTGTTAGGCACCCCACCTGAGCATGGTGTTGTTAGGCACACTATCTGAGCAAGGCGTTAGTTACACTACCTGAGCAAGAAATTAGACACTACCTGAGCATGGTGGTGTTAGACACACTAGCTGAACATTGTGGTACTAGTCACACTAGCTGAGCACTAGTTAGACACACTTCCTTAGCATGGTGTTTTTAGGCACAGCAATTGAGCATGGTGTTGTTAGTCACACTACCTGAGTATTGTGTTCATAGTCACACTACCTGAGCATGATGTTGTTAGTCACACTACCTGAGCATGGTGTTAGACACAGTACCTGAGCATTGTGGTGTTAGACACACTACCTGAGCATCGTGTTGTTAGGCAAACTACCTGAGCATATTGTTGTTAGACACACTACCTGAGCATGGTGTTAGCCACACTATCTGAGCATTGTGTTGTTTTACACACTACCTGAGCATGGTGTTGTTAGACACACTACCTGAGCATTTTGTTGTTAGTCACTCTACCTGAACATGGTGCTGTTAGTCACACTACCTGAGCATGGTGTTGTTAGGTACACTTCCTGAGCATATGGTTGTTAGGCACTCCACCTGAGCATGGCGTTGTTAGGCACACTACCTCACAACCTGAGCATGATGGTGTTGAGTGACACATTACCTGAGCATGGTGTTGTTAGACACACTACCTGAGCCATTTTGTTGTTAGTCACACTACTTGAACATGGTGCTGTTAGTCACACTACCTGAACATGTTGTTGTTAGGCACACTACCTGAGCATCGTGTTGTTAGGCACCCCACTTGATCATGGTGTTGTTAGTCACACTACCTAAGCATGGTCTTGTTAGGCACACTACCTGAGTATGAAGTTGTTAGGCACACCATCTGAGCATGGTGTTGTTAGTCAGACTACTTGAGCATTGTGTTGATAGCCACACTACCTGAGCATGGTGCTGTTAGTCAAACTACCTTCGCATGGTGTTGTTAGGCACACTACCAGAGCATTGTGTTAGACATGGCGGTGTTACCTGAGCATGGTGGTGTTAAACTATATGAGCATGGTGTTGTTAGGCACCCCACCTGAGCAAGGTGGTGTTAAGCACACTACCTGAGCATGAAGTTGTTAGGCACACTGTCTGAGCAAGGCGTTAGTTACACTACCTGAGCAAGAAATTAGACACACTACCTGAGCATGGTGTTGTTAGACACACTAGCTGAGCATTGTGGTACTAATCACACTAGCTGAGCATGGTGTTGTTGGACACACTACCTGAGCATGGTGTTCTTAGACACACTTCCTTAGCATTTTGTTTTTAGGCACAGCAATTGAGCATGGTGTTGTTAGTCACACTACCTGAGTATTGTTTTCTTAGTCACACTACCTGAGCATGGTGTTGTTATTCACACTACCTGAGCATGGTGTTAGACACAGTACCTGAGCATTGTGGTGTTAGACACACTACCTGAGCATCGTGTTGTTAGGCAAACTACCTGAGCATAGTGTTGTTAGACACACTACCTGAACATGGTGTTAGCCACACTACCTGAGCATTGTGTTGTTAGTCACACTACCTGAACATGTTGTTAGGCACAGTTCCTGAGCATTGTGTTGTTAGGAACTCCACATGAGCATTGTGTTGTTATGCACACTACCTCACTACCTGATCATGATGGTGTTGTTGTTCACACTATCTGAGTATGGTCTTGTTAGGCACACTACCTGAGCATGGAGTTGATAAGCACACCATCTGAGCATGGTTTTGTTAGTCAGACTACCTGAGCATGGTGTTGATAGCCATACTACTTGAGCATGGTGTTGTTAGTCACATTACCTAAGCATGGTATTGTTAGGCACACTACCTGAGCATTGTGTTAGACATGGCGGTGTTACCTGAGCATGGTGGTGTTAAACTATATGAGCATGGTGGTGTTAGTCAAACTACCTTAGCATGGTGTTGTTAGGCACACTACCTGAGTTTGGAGTTGTTAGGCACACTACCTGAGCATTGTGCTGTTAGTCACACTACCTGTGCATGGTGTTTTTAGGCACACTACCTGAGTATGGTGTTGCTTGTCACACTACCTGAGCAATTTTTTGTTAAACACACTACTTGAGAATGGTGTTGTATGGCACACCACCTGAGCATAGTGTTGTTATGCACACTACCTGAGCATAGTGTTGTTAGACACATTACTGAGCATGGTGTTAGGCGCACCACCTTAACATGGTGTTAGGCGCACCACCTGAGCATGGTATTGTTAGCCATATTACCTGAGCATGGTGTTGTTATGCACACTGCCTGAGCATGGTGTTGTTAGTTACACTACTTGAGCATGGTGATGTTAGGCATACTACATGAGCATGGTGTTAATTACACCACCTGAGCAAGGTGTTGTTAGGCACACTACCTGATCATGGTGTTGTTAGTAACACTACATGAGCATGGTGTTGTTAATCAGACTTCCTGAGCATGGTGTTGTTAGTCACACTACTTGAGCATGGTGTTAAATACACTACCTGAGCATGGTGTCAAACAAACTACCTGAGTATGGTGTTGTTAGACACACTACCTGAGCATAGTGTTGTTAGACACACTATGTGAGCGTGGTGGTGTTAGTCACACTACCTGAACATGGTGTTATTTGCCACTCTACCTGAGCATGGTGTTGTTAGTCACACAACCTGAGCATGGTGTTGCTAGTCACACTACCTGGGCCTGGTGTTGTTAGTCACACTACCTGAGCATGGTGTTTTAGACACACTACCTGAACATGGTGTTGTTCCCCACACTTCCTGAGCATGGTGTTGTTAGACACACTATCTGAGCATGGTGTTTTTTGGCACACCACCTGAGCAGTGTGTTGTTAGTCTCACTAGCTGAGCATGGTGTTGTTAGACACACTACCTTAGCATGGTGGTGTTAGGCACTCCACCTGAGCATGGTGTTGTTAGTCACACTACCTGAGCATTGTGTTTTTTGGCACACCACCTAAGCAGTGTGTTGTTAGTCTCACTAGCTGAGCATGGTGTTGTTAGACACACTACCTGAGCATGTTGTTTTGGACACACTACCTTAGCATGGTGGTGTTAGGCACTCCACCTGAGCATGGTGTTGTTTGTCACACTACCTGAGCATGGTGTTGTTAGGGACACTATCTGAGCAGTGTGTTCTTAATCTCACTAGCTGAGCATAGTGTTGTTAGTCACACTACCTGAGCATGGTGTTTTAGACACACTACCTGAACATGGTTTTGTTCGCCACACTTCCTGAGCATGGTGTTGTTAGACACACTATCTGAGCAGTGTGTTGTTAGTCTCACTAGCTGAGCATGGTGTTGTTAGACACACTACCTGAGCATGGTGTTTTAGACACACTACCTGAGCACGGACTTGTTAGGCACACTACCTGAGCATTGTGTTTTTGGCACACCACCTGAGCAGTGTGTTGTTAGTCTCACTAGCTGAGCATGGTGTTGTTAGGCACCCCACAGCATGTTATATATTGTGTGTTGTAACTGAATTCCAGCGCATCTTCCTTTTGTGGTTATCTTGAGATGATTTCGGGACTTAGTGTCCCCGCGGCCTGGTCCTCGACCAGATCTCCTTTTGTTACACACACCCAGGAATCAACCCGTTACTGGTGTCTAACTCCCAGGTACCTATTTTCTACTAGGTTAACAGGAGCATCAGGGTGAAAAAAACTCTGCCCATTTGTTTCCACCTCCACCGGGGACTGAACCCGGAACCTTAGGACTACGAATGCCGTGCGTAGTTTACACTCAGCTGTCAGGCTCCTAAGTTCACATTTTTACATTTATATAAATATGTGTACCCACATATATATATGTATTCGATAAATTTTGTAGCATATATGAACGTGCAGAATAGCCTGTTTTGGTGATAATTGTTGCACTAAGTCCATTGAAATCTGTTAGGAATTTTTTTAATTTAATAACTGACTCTTTACTTCATTATGTTAAAAACTAATTGTAATTGATATATGTTGTATAATATTTAGACTTTATTAAGGTTAATGCTCTCATTTACTTGACTTATACTAGTATCATCTTTTCCTTGTGCTGGCTTAAGAACAAAATGGGTCGATTAGGGTCTTGTTTTTTTTTTAATTATTTACTGTGTTATATATGGTGTAAGCCATTATTCTATATACGCCTCGGCTACATCACTTGGCTTAGATCAGGCTCAACATGCACCTGAACTTGGCCATGAACATTAACGATATGTTATCTTACACAGAGTTCTTCCCACAGGTTGACGGAAGGTGTGATTATGGTGATATGGTCCGGGGCGATGTGGTTCATGGAGGTGATGGCTTTCTTAGTGGCATTCAACAGCGTCGAGCCCTCACATGCTTGGTATAATTACCTGTGGTATATTCCCTCCAGCTTTAACTGCCTGCGAGGGATAGGCATCTTCCTCATCGTGGTGTTGACGCCTGAGAACCGAGGCAAGCTGGCGCGAACATTTAACGGAGTGATCCGGTCCATGACGGCCTGCTGCATCTCCCTGGACCCGACGGCTCGCTCCACGTCTCCTAATGCCAATGCGGTGGGCATCCAGCCTTCCAAGATGAGTATAGACGAGGGAATTGATCTACACGCTGATGTCACTTCTGATGTGACATAAGTTCTTCATTAGCTGCTTCTGAACTCGGACCAGGAAAAGGTGAGGCTGATGTGTCAGCCAAACGTTGTAAAAAATCCAAGTGAAGTTTGCCTACTGTTTAACTGCTTGCAAGTGACCGTAACCATGATACCGCTGCCCACTGGATGGGTGTGGTGTGCATAATAAAACAACTAAACTATATTTTTATGTCTAACTAGTTTGCCACTTATCTTCGTTATAGATATGGGCCCCAGAATATATTAATTAAAAAACATTTGCTAGTAGTGAGCACAGAATTCAGGTATCCTTCCTGCTGGATATTTGGAATTAATAAGAAATTCCTGTGACAAAGAGATAGCTTGTTGACAACAATCATTATAAGTCCTATGGTATTGAGATCTACAAGAGCTGGGTATTCAGACCGACTGTGGACAAGTCGAGACTCTTAATCTGTTGATGTAAAATGCTGCGGGTTCCCAAATTTCTTTAACGTCATGGTATAATTACGTACATTAATTATTCAAATAGTTGTTCTCGTGTAAAATTTGTGATATAAATTTTGGAAAAAAGTCTCACTGCTCTGATGGTAATGTGTAAGGTTTTCTATGACTTTAACACCTGTTCTCACTTGCCACAACTTTTGGGATTTGTATAAATCTCTGATAAACGGGCTCTTGATCTAAATCTTGATTACATTTATAAAAGATAATATCTGTCTGTTTGTAAACGAAGGCCAACAAGTCACCATTGTTTCACTTGCCACAACTACTCTCCGTAATAGGTGTTAATAACTGGTAGAAGAGAGGGAGAGGGAAGGAAAAGGGGAGAGAGATATGAAGGAGGAAGGGATAATAAAGATGGGAGAGAGAGAGAAGAGACGACAGGAGAATAGTAAGAGGAAGAGAGAGAGAGAGGCCAACATGACTCGTTCTTACATGTTAGTTCGAGGCTTTGGCCAGATGTTTGGGGAAAACCTCACCAAATATTGCAGGGTGACTCATTTGTGTGTGGGGATGGTCAATGGCTAGTTTGAGTGGAGCTCCAGGTCCGCCGCCCCATTCAAAAAATATCATATACTCGTCCTCCCTACTATTCATCCCTCCCCCATCCCCGCATCCTTCCTACCATCCCCCACTCCCCTGTCTCCTTGTCCTCCCAACCATTCTCCACTTCCCTGTCCCATTGTCCCCACCATTCCCAACTCCCCGTCCTCCCGACCATTACCCCCTCCCCCTATCCCCTCATCCTCCCCACCATCCCCTATTCCCGTACCCTCGTCCTCCCAACCATTCCCCACTCCCCAGTCCCTTCATCCTCCCAACCATTCCCCCCTCCCCCATCTCTTTGTCCTTCCCACCATTCCTCACTCCTGAATCCCCTCGTCCTCCGTAGTGTGACCACTCCAACATCCTCCCTTCATCCTCCCCACCCATCTCCCTCCCCGTCCCTCGGCTCCCTACCACTCTCTCTCTCTCTCTCTCTCTCTCTCTCTCTCTCTCCTCTCTCTCTCTCCTCTCTCTCTCTCTCTCTCTCTCTCTCTCTCTCTCTCTCTCTCTCTCTCTCTCTCTCTTTCTCTCTCTCTCTCTCTCTCTCTCTCTTCTCTCTCTCTCTCTCTCTCTCTCTCTCTCTCTCTCTCTCTCTCTCTCTCTCTCTCTCTCTCTCTCTCTCTCTCTCTCTCTCTCTCTCTCTCTCTCTCTCTCTCTCTCTCTCTCTCTTTCTTATATATATATGTATATGTACATATATATGATATATATGTACAGGATATATATATCCTGTACATATATATCATACACATACATCCTGTAAGGCGTACTGTACATACCATTATATATATATATTGTCGGGGTTTCACCACTCTATTATTCTCTACCCTTACTCTGGGGTGAGCAATAGTTATGCTCAAGGTAACTCACCGTAGCCCTGCGGGTCTTCCCTCGATCCTCACGGCGCCACTGCACGCCAGGAGAGTCTCCCAGTCAATCTTAACGGCCTCTTATTAAGAAAGAGTGAGAACACGACTCGTTCACATCGACTGTCGTGTGCCCTCCCCAACAATAGGGCTCTACGGTTATCCACAAGATCGCCAACTGGTGTTTAAGGTGGCCAGTAACACCATCAGTGGACTGGTGTATTCAGTGGTAGCCTTGGCAAGGTCACGCTCAAAGATCAGGAATCAGGCAGGTACTTATTGTTATCACTCTATATTTACCAGTATAATATAGCCACAAGATCAATGGAGGGGATGATAAAAACACAAAGAGAGTTTTGTATTTTACTTAAAATGTATGAAAGATGTCACAAGGCCACACAATAATCGATAAATCAACTGATCCTGACTCGGCCGGTAATTCCCACGGATATTATGCGACCGCTAGAGGGCAACACTCTCCCCCTCCTCATCAAGTGTCAAGAACAGCTGATCGCAATGGTCTCTCCGCGCGAAATTTGCTTGTTTTCTAGATTCACGCGCCCTGTTTCATTAAATTCTCCAATATTACTAGAAACTCGCACACTCGATATTGGCTAAATAAACCGTATTACTCAGTTACACTGTACTCAGGCTCAAACAGTCTTTTCTACAATCAATTCTACAATGATTCACTGTAATGGTCTTACACTGTTATTTATCCAACAATACATTATGAACTATTAACACTGGAGTTTTCGGTACTTTCTCTCGTTGGCGATAACGCAATGATTCACTGTACTCACAAATGATTATTCACTGAATGAACATAGACATATATATGGTATATAAATCAATCATCAATACATGGAAAATAAATAGTTTCTGGGCACATAGCCTAACCTCCAAATACTGGCATAATATTATGTATAATTTACCACTATATGTTCATATCAAAAATCTATAGAAAGATATACACAACACAGTAAATTTATCACTGGTTCCTGGTGCCTGTACACACCAATAATCAACATGAATATTACAAGTACTCTTGATAGTACTGTCTAGCACATTGGTGCTTTACCGTGACATGGGTGAGACTTGCTCACGACATATAAAATCCTCAGGCTAGAAAATATAGCCGAATAACATAGCTAACTAAAGGGGAATGGGGAGGGAACTAGAACCACCTACTTCACCCTATCCTCCGATGAGAGTCGAGATGTAGCTCCTGGTCCTCGTGTCGGGAACGCCCCCACACTACACGTCGTCGTGTCCTACCAGAGCCTCTCGTCGTCCCACCGTTTAGCGCGTCGTCTCCGTGCCTCCTCACTGCAGGTCCGTCCTCCTCCTTGACTTCTTGAAGGTTGGAGTCGGTCTCCTGGCCGTCGTCTTCTCCCAGCAACGGCTGTCGCCTACGTCTCAGCTACAGTCGTCCGGTTTCCCCAAATAGTCCTCTCTTCCTCAGCTACCCAGTGGCTCTGTCAGCCACTACGCTGTCACGAACTGGTGAATTGCCACAGACGTCACTGCACGGCTTCACTGCTACTGGCACAGTACCTGACTGGAGCACTTGTTGCTCAAATAACCGTCAATTCCCTCTTCTGGTTCAACACGTGAACTAGGGAAGACTTCTCAGAGTACTGGCGGACTTCCGGTGACGCGTAAATCCACGGGAGCTGGAATAACTGTCCGACTGACAGGACCACTCGTCGCACGTCCGACCTCTATGACGTGTCGTGTCTGACTGCTGGCGCCAGCCCGGCGTGCTGGCCGGACCCCCTTCCTTCATGACGTCACTTTCGCCACGGGAGGTTTTCATTGGCTCCCGGTGCCACATTGCTGTCGGTGACCAATCCGGTGCCACTGACGTCACACGGTTTTGGCGGGAGATCAGGGAAGCCAGCGCCATCTTGGCTCCCTAAAGGGCCTAAACCACAGGCCAAAATATCACTATTTCACAAATTTATCGGCTCTCCGAGAACACTTCACTCTCTCCCATATATCGAATTGTAGCCTGCAACGTAGAGAACGCTTGGGAAAAGTAGACATGACTCTTACTGCAGGCGTGGGAGAATTACAAGGGGGGGAACTCCGTCACAATATATATATATATATATAATATATATATATATATATATATATATATATATATATATATATATATATATATATATATATATATATATATATGCAACAATGATCACAAAAACACTGTTCCAAGTATGCAGAATAACCACATGTGAAAAATAGAAAATGCTTAACGCGTTTTCGGCAAATTCGCCTTCATCAGAGCAAAGTAGAATCTACTTTGCTTCAAAGAATACAAAGATTCTACTTTGCTCTGATGAAGGCGAATTTGCCGAAAACGCGTTAAGCATTTTCTATTTTTCACATGTGGTTATTCTGCATATATATATATATATATATATATATATATATATGCCATGAGCAATGCAACTGGTATGTACAGGATGCCTTCATCCACTTGACCATCACACGACCGGACATAAGGAGGTGATAGCCGAAGCTATTTGAACCACCCCCCCCCCCCCCCGCCGGCACCCGGATGGTAATCTTGGGCATAGCATTTTATCAAATCACCTCATTCTTTGGGGCACACGTGAGGAACACAAATGCGAACCACCCACCCGCCGGCAGGGGGGGGGGGGTTCAAATAGCTTCGGCTATCCCTCCTTATATCCTGTCGTGATGGTCAAGTGGATTAAGGCGTCTTGTACATACCAGTTGCATTGCTCCTGGCAGTATGGGTTCGAGTCGCTTCTGGGGTGTGGGTTTTCAGTTGCATATAGTCCTGGGGACCATTCAGGCTTGTTCACATTTGTGTTCCTCACGTGTGCCCCAAAGAATGAGGTGATTTGAAAAAATGCTAAGCCCAAGATTACCATCCGGGTGCCGGCAGGAGGGTGGTTCAAATAGCTTCGGCTATCACCTCCTTATGTCCGGTCGTGATGGTCAAGTGGATTAAGGCGTCCTGTACATACCGGTTGCATTGCTCCTGGCAGTATGGGTTCGAGTCACTTTTGGGGAGTGAGTTTTCAGTTGCATATAGTCCTGGGACCATTCAAGCTTGTTCACATATATAAATATATCTATATATATATATATATATATATATATATATATATATATATATATATATATATATTATGTCGTACCTAGTAGCCAGAACGCACTTCTCAGCCTACTATGCAAGGCCCGATTTGCCTAATAAGCCAAGTTTTCATGAATTAATTGTTTTTCGACTACCTAACCTACCTAACCTAACCTAACCTAGCTTTTTCGGCTACCTAACCTAACCTAACCCATAAAGATAGGTTAGGTTAGGTTAGGTAGGGTTGGTTAGGTTCGGTCATATATCTACATTAATTTTAACTCCATTAAAAAAAATTGACCTCATACATAATGAAAAGGGTACCTTTATCATTTCATAAGAAAAAAATTTGATAAAATATATTAATTCAGGAAAACTTGGCTTATTAGGCAAATCGGGCCCTGAATTGTAGGCTGAGAAGTGCGTTCTGGCTACTAGGTACGACATATATATATATATATATATATATATATATATATATATATATATATATATATATATATATATATATATATATATATATATATATATATATATATATATATATATATATATATATATATATATATATATATATCAGGAAACTTTATTATATATATATATATATATATATATATATATATATATATATATATATAATATATATATATATATATATATATATATATATATATTATATATTATATATATATATATATATATATATATATATATATAT